AGTTTTTTGGTGCACTGTCGAGTTGTGATTGCTTTGCTTTGCGGTTTGCCAATATACTCGATATAAAGAACTCGCCAGCTTTGTACGAGCTGCGGACAAGAGGGCCACTGGCGGTATACAGGAATCCCAATTCGTTTCCACGCTCTTCCCAGTGCTTAAACTTCTCCGGCGTAACATACTCAATGACTTTGAGATGCTTGTTCGTGGGCTGCATGTACTGACCCAAGGTCAAGCATTCGACGCCAGCCTCTCGCAAGTCTGTCATAGTTCTTTCAATCTCTTCATCAGTCTCGCCAAGACCAAGCATGATGGAGCTCTTTGTGATGAGATTGGGATTAAAACGCTTTGCTTCGCCAAGCACCCGAAGCGTTTGCCTATAGTGGGCACGTCGATCTCGAACGAAGGGGGTCAGCTTCTCCACGGTTTCAATGTTGTGCGCATAGACGTCCAGGCCACAGTTTGCAATCGTTTCAACACAATTCAGATCCCCACGAAAGTCAGGCACCAGGCATTCGACAAATATATTGGAATTCCTATGGAAGAAATGGCATCGTTAGCAGGGATTATAATTGAATAAATTGTAGTTCTTACCGAGCTTTGATTTCTCGTACGGTTTGTGCAATATGTTTCGATCCGCCATCGGGCAAATCATCACGATCGACTGATGTTAACACAATGTAATCCAAGCCCCACGATGCTATTGCCTTGGCAGTGTTCACGGGCTCATTTTCGTCAAGAGGAGGCGGCTTGCGTGCTGTCTTTACGGAACAGAAACGACAGCCGCGTGTGCAAGTGTCTCCCATGAGCTACAACCAGAAATGTACACAATAAACACGCTTAGTTATCAGCAAAGGTCAAGCAATCTCACCATTATCGTCGCGGTCTGAGTTCCGTTTTCACCGCCACCCCAGCACTCTCCGATGTTGGGGCAACGAGCCTCCTCACACACTGTGGATAGCTTTAGTTCTCGCAGCTGCTCCTTAATCTTTGTGTAGTTCTTGCCCATCGGTATTGTGGTCTTCAGCCATGGCGGCAGACGCAACCGTTGCTCCTCTCCCTTCTCCCTACGTAACTTTCCATCATAGTTTTCCCCCACACTCTTTATGTTATCTGGATCTTGGACAAAGTCTTGAAAGTTTGGCCCTTTAGCCAGACGTTCTCGGATCTCCTCGAGTTTCTTTGCATTTGTTGATGCCGCACGCTGCAAAATGATTGATCTTTATATCTTAACTGTGCACCACTAACTATGATTTGACTTACAACGACAATTGCTGTTGGCGAGTTAGGCCTAAACGCTTGCAGCATATTTAAAAATGTGAATGAAATTTCTGTTTTGTTTTGGAAATTCTTACGAAATGAATAGTGTGAACAAAGTACGAAAAGTCCATTATTACCTGACCTGGTAGATACAGTTTAGCTTATTTTGAAAATGAGATGGTATATTTTTGTATAGTCTGGATGGGCAGACGGTATATTTTATGGGTAACTTCGCGGTCACACTGTTGGATACACTTTATTTATTTATTGTTTTGAAAACATTTTAAAAATCCATGTTTTAACGAAAACATGAAATAATAATATGAATTCCTGAATAATACACGGTTTCCATAAGTGTGTGATAAGCATTTGGAGTGAATTAAACCACTTTAGGGCGGAGGTTGCTCTCACTCTAGGCTCAGCTTCACACCTTAAAAACTTGTTTTATACTACCAACACAGAAGCGATACATACGCAGAAGACGTAGATGCAACTCACAAATTGCGATACATACATACTTATGTATGCACCTGGATTGGATACTTAGATTGAACTATTTAAATGCAATAAGTATATTCTGAAAGCTCCTAAAAGCGCCGTTTAAAATGGGTAAGTAAACAAATTACCTAAAACACATACTAATTGGCTTAAACATGGGTTTCGGGCTTAAAACAAACATGACTTTTTGGGACCGTATGTATTTACATAAATACATATGTATGTATGTGTATGTCCCGAGCGTTGCCTTTCTGCGTTGGAATCAAATAAACGTAAAAGCATTAAATTATTATTATTATTATAATGTTCAAAAGACACCACCTCCAATCCACTGCATAGCATAAACGAACCTTCTTGGTCAGGGTTTAAACTTGAAAGCTACCTCAACAAAATCGTTGCATTGACGTTTGTCAGCTTTATTGGGATATCAACATGAAATAATTTTCTGTTGTGCGAGGCATATTAAGATGCCAAGACCAAGAGCTACAGACTAAAGCAGCTGTTATTATATAAGTCGTGCTTACAACATTAAAGCTGGAGTGTCCAATAGGTGTAGAGCAGCTAGTGGATCAGACACTATCGTTCCTAGCTATATGTACATATGTACATACATACATATGTGCATGCATGAACCCCTTTGATTTCATGTACATACGCGTCTATATTGGCATTTCCCTTCAATGTTGACACTAATTGACCCTATGCAGAGCATAAAACTTATCCAAGCGCTCTTGAAGACCGTATTAATTGGCTGTCTCATTCAATTGAGGGCCGGGCCTGTGCCTGGGAGCAATGTTTTCCAATTTGCAGCGACGTACGCATCCAAGTGTACCCACACAACACACACAATTGGAGGAATACATACTATATTTATATACCCGTAACTACTTATCGTTCAGTGAGAGCGAGAGAAACTGAGGGGAAAAGCGTCACACTCGGAACAGAGTACAAAAAAAGTTAACAGAGAAGAGTTATCAGTCGCGGTCGACTGCGAAACATTTCGGAGTTGAACTGAACGCCCATTCCGAGTTCTGAGTTTGCTCTTGGCTCTTCGTTCCTTCCTCATTCATTATATCGAGATCGGGAAGCACGCGCGGTACAAGTTTAGCTGTTGATCTCAGGGCGGCGAAAGCGAATGTCTCTGATGACGTCGAAGTTTGTGTTTTGTGTGATTCATGTGCGGGCAGCTTAGACTTATACATATTTATTGACAACAGCTAAAAAGATTCTCGCAACTTCTGACTTTTACAAGCGCCTGATCAAATTAAGATTCCGTTGTGCAATATGCCTGGGAAAATGAACGATCGCGATCGCATACGAGATCCCCGCGAGGAGATCCTACTCGAGACGAACTTTGAAGATGACGGTGGTGTGCTAACGCGTGCCTACAATAACAATCCCTACAATGGGGGCAACGTACAAAATCGACGACGACCCTCCTACCGATCGGAACACTCCTTGGATAGGTACACAGAGCGTGGCGGCGAAGGTACGACAAAGTCAATGGATATATTGCTTTTGCATTTCACAAAAGCATTTTTATACATCACCTGCTCAAACTTTCATTGTTTTTATGTGGTAAAACGCGTCACCAAGAAATTGTTGCACTCTCTCGCATACCAGTACCACATATTTTCCCTCTATGTGAATCACTCTGTTGTAGGCTATCACCTTTAGCCGTGCTACATTTTGTTATCTTATCAATTTCTAGTGCATACATACATACAAATAAATTCCCTTAAGATAAACCTTTTTCCCTACGTATGGCACCTTTATGCACCATACAATTTAGCCCGAAATGAATTACTTAAAGCTAAACATTTAGATGTACCACAGCAGCACGAGCACTATAGTAAAATCAACATATGAAAGAATGTTTATCAAATATTGTTTATGAATTATTTTTTTGCAATTATCCGAGTGTTGTCGAGCCATGTCTGTCTGTCACCTTTCTGTTCAAAAATAGTTTATTTTTAAATTAACTAAGCAACGCCAAAGAATAGTCTAAAAACAACATACATGTCGAGTGCATGGCTCTGCACTTTAAAGTTATTCAATGCAGTCAGTAGAATGAATAGTAAATGTCAGTCAATGTGAACTCCTTTTTAACTCTATTTCACTTTCACTGTACACATATCCGTACACCTTTAGTAATGTAGTCCCACCTCTCTTGCTTACATTTTCTAACAAATATATATTACAATTTCTTCTAGGTGAATGCTGTCAATCATGCATGGCGCGTATCCCCTACGCCACCATGATAGCCACTCTCATGTGTCTCCTGGGAGTGGGCATCTTCTGCTTCACCATGTACAGAGGAGCATCGCTCACAGTTATAATGGTGGACCAAGTATTTCACTTACGTTTGATATGGTAAGGCTCAGCCATTATTCCAAGCAGTCGTCACATGTATAAGCATTATTCATATTTCAGGATCGAAGCTGTGCAGATGATATTTGTAATAATTGGAGCTGGCATGGCAGCCCTCGGATTTATGATACTCTTTGTTGGCTTCCTGGCAACTGGCGCCACGCGGTATAAGGTATACAGAGCCTGGCGGTCCCGTGTTGGAGGCCGGATCTCCTGCGCCGTACTTATGGGCATCACGTACCTACTCAATTTCGTGTGGAGTCTTATTCTTTGCTTCCTGGTTGTTGTCACCTTCATATATACCATGTTCTGGAACATGTGCTCCAGTGTCGAGCACTCTCAAAGCTGTATAGATTTGACACAATTCCGTAAGTATTAATACTTCCTCGAGCTAAATTCAAAGTAAAATCTCTTATTAATGCCTTGAATGATTTTTGCAGATTTTATGTTCCCACCAAACACCAAACTCGAGGACATGAAGGTGTGCGAGAAGTATGAGATCAAGGCATTCTGTAAAGATGGTGTTGAGAATGCTGAGGTTATGTTCATACTGGCCACGCTGTCCACCCTTTTAGTAATTCTCAGTCTGGTTCACTATCTGATGTGCCTCTCGGCCAACTATGCGCACATAAGGGATCACGAAAAGTTCCAAGAGCTGCAGGAAATGCAAAATCTCAACGAGCTGGAGTACAGTGCTACGTCCAAGGATCGTTTCTAGGACATATTTCAGAAGATTCAATTTGAGCTTAAAGAGAAAACGAGCGACATGTAAGAGCGACATTTTGGCAAACTTTACAACGAACACAGCACTAGTGCAATGCTGCCAACACAATACAATTAAGATCCTTTGTTTAGACCTAATATTAAGACTACAATTTTAGTTTTCCTTTTTTATATTCATTTGATGAGTTATTGGCAATCATTTGGACTTGGTTCGACGACAGTTGCATGGCCAAGCAATTAATTCGAAATATAACTAATTTCTAATTTAGTTTTGCTTAAAATTTCACCTTTTGTCGCTTTTGTTTATGCATTTTTATCATGCCTATGCTTTCCGTTCATATGTTTATTTATACCGTCCATTAAATTAAGCTTTTTACATCTATTATTTGTATAATCAAACATGTCTTTTTATGTTTTTAAATCAAATGGCTTACACAATAAATTGGAATACTTTATGCTCAAATTGATTCTTCTGAATTGCTGCAACAAATTTTATTAAATAAGCAATTTACTCAGTACATTATAGTGTAATCCATCCATGCATCTACCAATCTTGTGTATTATCTTGTGGTTTCCGCAGTTATGCATTCATAAATTAAATTAAATACGTACAATGAAACGACACACGACACATTAATCTTAAATAAGCGTATATACAGTAACATATTTTATACTTTTCTAATAGTATTATGTACAATGCTAACCACGAAACTTTACAATTAGATTTTGAAACACTTAAAACTTCAATAAAAGATTTTTATTGAATCGCAATGTCTTGGAATCTTTGATTTCTTGAGTAGCTGAACTGAAGCAAGAGCTTTCCATCGTGAACACTTCAAATTAGAATAGGAGTTTTCTCTGCACACATTAAGGATATTACAAAATATATTTGCTTTTATTTTATAATACAATATTAAACGACAAAGTGTTTATTTTTTAACATTAGATAGAATTAGGAGTTGCACAAATTGTCAAATTATCATGCGATTGTAAAAAGGCGTTGTCGATTTTGGTGTCATTAAATGGCAGTCTACACTTCTGGCGTTCCCCAACAATGGAGCGCACTTTAACTTCATCTGCAACTGTGGCATTTGATTGAGTCGATCTCTGACCGCAAATGGCAAATCGTCGTTGCTGCCGAAATGGGTAGATAGGCCGTTGGCCTGTGTATACGTAATGCCTCCTCCCTGCACCTTTGGTATTACTGAGACCATAGATCCATCATAGAATTGCACTTGCACAACTCCATGGGACAGCTGAAATGGGTTCGATATTTAGTACTTGCTGCCGAAAAATAATGTGTCATATCTTGCCTCAGTAACAATTCCAATTTCGGGTACGGTGATACGTTTGATTGGAACATTTTGGTGGGCAGCCATCATGTTGGGCCGCGATGTATTTGAATTGTAGTCCGAGGCACTTCGCGCCGTGGACATGGTGCTCACGGAGAAGTTAATTGAACCCTATAGGAATATTAAATTTGAGTAATCTCGCCAGAAACTGCATTAAGTATAGCGATTTACCTGATTTGATTTCGGAGTGGAGTAGGCAAAGTTTGTTGTATCCCTAAGACCTTCGAAACGTTGGCCCGCATGTAGCTCTGTGGGAGGCCGTCGACCGATTGTGACCGGGAAACACGTATTCTCCTTAGTCTGGGCGAGTTCTAGAGCATTGCTGATATTGACGCAATGGGAGAAGCATTCATTTCCGTGGTCAATTAGATTGCGTGTCTCCGCACAAGCATTATCCGGCAGCACTGCTCCATGCGCATTGAACACCTTAACACCGTCAGTGGAGGACTTTAAAACCTTGGCCCCAGAATAGAAGCGTACCTCATAGTCCGTCATTGTCTCCATGAGTTGGAATTTCGCTAGGCTACTGAAATAGGTGATTTTCGGTGTTTTGCTCTTCACCAGACCCACAAATCGGGCAGCGTACACATATTTTTTCCAGTGTTTATGCGGCAAACTCTCGTAGTTGTAGACACAGTCCTCGCTGGGTATGAGAGGGTCTGGTGGATGTTCTCTTATTGGTAAGCCGCTGAAATAAAAAATATTGTTAGCTGCAGTCACAAAAGCAGGTTATTTTCTTGTTTTTTTTTACTCACCGTCCTGGATCGGGTTGATAGATTATGATACGGCGTCCATCTTCGGATATGCGACAAATATCAGTGATTCGATCTTCATTGAACTTTGCCTTAAACTTGACAAACTCCAAGACAACCTCGCCAGTCCGCAAAATGCTCATGATGGCATTTTTCGTTTTATAACGCGTCGGCTGCAACCTTTTCGTTTCCAGTGGCGGGACTGAGAGTCGTTTCTCAGCATTTGGTGTCGATATCATGTCGCTCTCAGGCCTAAATGGAACGAAACTGTTTGTGGCTGGCCATTTGGCGTCTCTATGCTCCAACTGACCGCCTGGCGCTGGCAGATATAAGCCATGCTGTTCGTAAATTGGCAGATGTTCCTGTGACTCGTAGCCCAGGATAGACGACGGCAAATATTCTTCCATTATCTGTGGCATCGATTGTCCTGAAGAATTATCAACAGAACGAAGTCGGTGGGATTTCCTAGAGTCATCTATAAAAATAATTATTTTATTTCTGCGTACAGTGATCAATAGTTTCCATTACTTACTGCTGGCAAAGGTTATGATTCCACTGTCGCTGCTGGCGACACTTTGACTGAATTCATTTAACGCGCCAGGCGTTGTGCTATACGATGAGCCGCCAGGCGTTCTTTTCAGAAATGGATGACGGAGGACCTGCTCAAGGGTAATGCGGTCTTGTGGGCTTTTCTTGAGTAGCTTATGGATTAGGTCTTGTGCCTCAAAGGACAAATGTGATGGCATCATGAATTCAGACATCACGACTTTGTTGAGCGTCGACTCCACACCCTCGGTTTCAAACGGCGGTCGTCCCACTAGCAGCGTGTAGAGCATACACCCAACACTCCAAACATCCGCTGGCAGGCCGTGGGACAATCGGGAAACCACCTCGGGCGAAATATAGTTGGGAGTGCCGCACATAGTCATGTGCCTTTCGTCTGGTCGTTTTAGTTGAGTTGCCAGCCCGAAATCGGCGATTTTTATGTGCATTTCCTTGCTGAGTAGCAGGTTGGAGAGCGAAATGTCACGGTGCATGATGTTGTGGGAATGCAAGTACAGCAGGCCCGCCACCACCTGCTTCAATATGGTGGCGCCCTCGGATTCGGTAAAGGGACGCGAAAGATGCTGCTTCATATAGCGCTGCAGTTCACCGTTGTGAGCCAACTCCAACACCAAATACACATAGTTTGCATCCTGAAAGAATGTGTATAGCTGCAGCACAGAAGGATGTTTTAGGCGAGAGTGAATTTCCACCTCCTGTCGAACGCGGCTTGTGAGTCCTGTCCCCTGAATGAGTTTCTTGTCGATCTTGGGGTAAACACAAATTAGATGATATCTAAAACGTATACGCGAATCACTTACCATTTTGATTGCCACATCTTGATGAGAGTGCAGGCATTTTGCTTTATAGACGCTAGCAAAGCCACCTTTGCCCAACAAGTGCTGTACCTCGTACTCCTACAGACAACAATTCATAATTCACATTTTATAGTCACATTGCAGGGCAGCTCACCTCAATTGTTTCTCCGAAATTTCGAGTGGACATCTTGGTTTACTTTGTTAAGTACACAGATTGGCCCCACTTTTTGAAGTAAATTCCCACAAACGCTACATAAAAAAATAAACAAGCCGAAAATTTTTGAAAGAGAACGCCAGCATTGGTGTTGTAAAAAGTGGAAACTATCTACCCTCACTTACCAACACCAAACACCGATGAAATGCAGCAAAAAATACCGAAACATTGTACTCCTTGGCGATGGATCTGTAGCAAATAGGCAAATCAACCAACTGCTTTAACTATATTTATACATGAATTGGACGAGTAGAATTGTTTGAAATATATTGTTACATACATTTTCGGTATGTAAGAACCACGATTATACAATGGAGCTGTGCAGTTACCAGCACTGGCGATTATGCAGCCCGATATTTAATCGCCGAGACTATCGCAGCGCAGCCATTGCAAATGCAGAAAATTCATGGCAATTGTTTTCCTTATGTTAATAATGCCGAAAATGCCTAATGGGACATGTATTTTGCATTGGGAATAACTTTCGTATACATTTATGCAATTTATGAGTAATTTAAACAGTCGCGTTGAAAGAATACGTACGTTGAAAGCGTAAACAGCCACCAAGTACGACTCGGCTTACCGATAATCGTGTTATTTAATAATTAAAAGTACAAACGAGTGCGTTTTGCTGCCTACCGTGTCAAGTGAATATAAATCGGATGTGGAAGGACCCGCAAAGTGGCTTTTCGTTTGCATAATTAGTGCATAAAAACTGGTAAGTCCTTAAGACAATAAAATGACCCATATATCCATTCTTACCTCTGTATAAAACATGTGTATACATGTAAGTTTCTTTGTGTGCAAGTGTTCGTAAATTCTACGTGTTACTCACACAACTATAAGGTCACATATAAGGTACTACGTCACTGACGCGCAACAGTGTAAAAACAGTGCTATAAAATGAAGGAATATATTTAACTAAAAATGGAATATTATATTAAAAATATACAAAATAAATATTGTTTTAAGTGCATTTTGTTTATTTTACGTGTTTGTTTTTATTGATGGCAAACCAAAACATGCCAAAACTTCAAATACAAACTGTAGTAATATGCTGTAAATTGTGTACAATTGGATAGAGAAAATGCAATTAAACAGAACCACCTTCTGGAAGTTCTTATAAAATAAATAAATAAATCATTAAAATCGTTTAAATTTGATATCTTGTGACTATGACCAACATTCCTTATTGCTGAAAATAATCATTATTTCTCTTGTAGACGACTGCATTTTTGATATTCAACGTTTGGTCACACTCGCCATTTCACTATAACCTTAAAATGACAAGTGATATTTTTCGATTTTAATTTTTAGGGGACTCGGACTCGAGCTTTGATGTCCGCAAAGATCAATGCGCAGTGGCATTGCATCTTTTCCAGCCCACATTTATAGATTTTCATGCAAAGGCACACATCACAAACATGTGAAAAGCAAAGGCAAAGTAGATATGTGGTGGTTATTCCAAGCAGCATTGTAAATAAAAGACAGGGCGGATATTTGGATGGTGTTTTCCCAAAACATTCGAGTGTGACAAAACAAAAAAAAAACAGCCAAAGAGCTGGAGTGGATAAAATACCTTCAACGAATACTGACAATATCAGCAGCGGAAAGACACCCGTCCCCGTGGTGGTGTGTCTACGGCCCATTTGAGAGCTTAGGCGAAGGACGCAAAGATGCATGCATCGTCTGCAGCTGCAACCGCACTGGTGGAGTACTCGGATGTCAGCTCAGAGGACTTCTCCGATCCCGAAGCAGGAGAAATTGACTCTGACGAAGGGGTGACAAGCAGATGTGACACCACAAATGCAAAGAAACCAAAGCCTCCTTCGGATAATCAGTTCGTAAAGAGTAGTCGGGCTACATCGAAGCCTGACAAGGAAGGCTATGATAAATACAGGTAAGAAGCGGGCACACTAAACCAATGTTTTTTTAATTAATATATTTACATGTTTTTTTGCTGTTAGGAAAAGGCGGACTGAAGAAACTGACGATCTTAAGGTGTCTGGATCGAGAGCAACTGGCAACTGTGACACTCTGAATAATCGAGACGAGGCGCAAGCTTCTAATACATCAAAGGACGAACTTTGGAGTGGGCAAATCTACATGTCTAGCGATTCCATTGACACGGATGAGCTGGAGGCGGAAATGAAGCGGCAAAAACGCAAGAAGCTGAAGAAGGACAAGCATAAACACAAGTCAAAGAAGAAGTCGAAGAAGCGTAAGAAAAAGAGGACCAAATCGTACTCCAGCATTGAATCAATGTCGGATGACATAAACGCCCTACTGGATCGACGCTACACACCGCCAAATGTTCCGAACAAGAGCAACGAGCGGACAGTCAGCACCGGAACTTCCTACACACCTCACGCGCATAAGGAAAGCAGTCCCATATCCCCGGGCACTCCGCCACCCACACGGCGATCAAACAGTAATAATGCCTATTATGGCGAGTCCATTGGCGATGCGCCCAACACTTCGCTGGGAACCAATCTCCAGGTCACCGTTACCAATAAGACGAGCAGTCGCCTGCGTACGCCACCCCGCCTCGGCGGCAATGGACCCCGCTATGGCAACTCTCCTCGAACTCCGCCACAAATTATGTACTCCACCGCGGGCGGTAGCAGTGGTAGTGTTGCACTTCATTCACGTGATTCACGTAGCTCCCGATATGTACAGAGTCCACACAAAGACGATCTAAATACGCACCATCGGTCGTCTGGCCACGATCACGGATATCAGCCGCGATATTCGGGCTCCGGACCAGGCGGCAGTCACGATGCGAGAAAGGTTAAACGCTTGTCACCGGGTAAGTGTTCCATGTGCATTGAGGCCGATAAGATGGCCGATGAGCGATAAGAGAGCTAATTGTTGCAAACATTTTCAGAGATGGACCGCTATAACCATCAGCCCAGTACACCGCCGCACAAGCGACGAAAGTTCAGCGATGGGCGGGATATGGGCATGGCGAGCTTCGAGCATAGCAGACACCATTCGGTCAAATATGATCGTTATAGCAGAGAGCGATATTCGAGGCGTGGCACCAGGTATGGATTGGATTGAAATTTGGTTTCATGTATGTTAATCATAAATTTATCTCTAAGGAGTCCTAGTGTACAGCATTCGCGGGGTCGGCAATCGCCTGTTGGCGGGATGACCTCCAGTGGAAGCATTTCAAATATGTTTAGGCATGGTAATAGTCACAAACACAAGTACACGACACCAAACTCACCCACGTCCGTGCCGACGCGGTCCTCGAAACGTGCCTCGGGCACTGGTACCTCCACGGATCGGTATTCGCGATCCCCGAGGCCAAGTTCGCGCTACTTTGAGGCTTCGCCACCATCTTCAGCTGGTGCTTCGAGCTCCCATTTCCATCATCATCGTCGCTCGCCGAAGGCTAGGGTCAGAAGGACGAGCAGTCGCAAACGCTCGCCCAGCTCGGAAAGCAGTGCAAGCTCAGCATCACCCAGTCGATCGCCAGCCTCTCGAGATCTGAAGCATAAGCGCGAGGAATACATTAAGAAGATTAGTGAAACGAGCCTGTTTGCCGAGCTGGTCAAGGATCGTCACAAAAGACAAAAGGCCCTGGAGGAGATTATCGAGCGTCAAGAGGAAAATAGTAACAGCAACGGCGCCTTGACAATAAACGATAACAGTTCCTCGATAGATGGCAATACGCCGAATGTTGCCGATTGCAGATCCACTGCGGCCACCGGAGGAGTAGGTGCAACGCCAGCCCCAGCTGCGGGCGGCGTCGGCATGACCTCAAATGGACTGGAAATTCCTAGTAGCTGTGGCGGTGGTGGTGGTGGTGGTGGCAGCAAACCGGATTTGGATGTCAACAACATTCCCATGCCAAACAAAGAGCACGATTTGCTTGTGCCAAATCCTGGCCACAGCTCCGATGTCCCAGATAGCTCCTCAACTGCACTGAAGACAACCACATTGGCGGCAGCAATCTCAGCGAATAGGAATAATCACAAACCGAAGAGTCTGACCTCGTTGCCCATGCCGCCCGGCATGAATGCGATGGACCTTGTGAATGCCCCAAGTCCATCGCCCCCGCATTCGACACTCAAAAAGGAGTACGATGAGAAAACAGTTTCCAATTCCAACGCCAATAAAAGTCTCCTGAACCTACCGATGCCACCGGTAATACCCGGCAGCGAGGAGCTAAGCGGCGACGATGATGTGATCGATAGTCCCGAAGATTTCGATGCAACTGGCGGCAGTGGCATGCATGGTCATGGCAGTGGGCACGGCGCATTGCGTCGTCGTCCAGTGATACTGAATCGTCGGGATTCCCGCAACAATGTGCGTGACTGGGGCGAGCGTTGTGTGGACGTATTTGAAATGATCGCACAAATCGGAGAAGGCACATATGGACAGGTAAGCTATGGCTTGGTGGCACTATTCTATGGATTTCTAACTAGATTTCTGTTTTATTTTCTATTCAAAGGTGTATAAAGCACGGGATCATCATACAAACGATATGGTGGCATTGAAAAAGGTGCGTCTAGAGCACGAAAAGGAAGGCTTTCCCATCACGGCTGTGCGTGAGATCAAAATTCTGAGGCAACTCAATCATCGCAACATTGTCAACTTGCATGAAATTGTCACAGACAAGCAGGACGCCGTTGAGTTTCGTAAAGACAAGGGCTCATTTTATCTCGTATTTGAGTATATGGATCACGATCTCATGGGCCTGCTGGAGTCTGGCATGGTCGATTTTAATGAGGAGAACAATGCGAGCATAATGAAACAGCTCCTAGATGGCCTTAATTACTGCCATAAAAAGAACTTTCTGCATCGGGATATCAAGTGCTCGAATATATTAATGAACAACAGGTATTCATAGATTTTCCTTATTTTTTGTTTGAAAAATTTAAAACTGGAATGTTAATTTTGCAGGGGGAAGGTAAAACTGGCAGATTTTGGATTGGCACGTCTGTATAATGCCGATGATCGGGAACGTCCCTACACGAACAAAGTGATAACACTGTGGTATCGGCCCCCAGAGCTATTGCTGGGCGAGGAGCGGTATGGTCCTTCCATAGATGTATGGTCGTGCGGCTGCATACTCGGCGAGCTGTTCCTGAA